GCAGCTTCCTGGGAGCTAAAGAAAAGGGAAGCCCTTTCTAACCATCAGAGGCTGGTAATTAGAGGCAGGGGTTGAGTTGGAGCATCTCCATAATTGTTAAAAGTCCTCTTCACATGCTTGCTGAAGCCTGCTTTCTTAATTTAGTAAAGGAGGGAGGGAGTTGGGTGAATGGTGGTGGGTGGCAGGGAGTGGGGGGGGGGGGTATAAATGCAGGGAACGGACCCTTTTCATCTGCAGAAACTTTGATCTTTCTTTTCTTCAACAGCCTGGAATAAAGGTGGAGAGCATTAGAAGTGTCTGTCTGATGTGGCCCAAGGTTCCCCCTAAATGTCCCCATTTGGACGCTTTGATGGACGTCTTACAATTGAGAGCGTTTTTTTTTTTTTTTTTTTTTTTGAAACCCCTTCTTCTTCTTCTTCTTCTTCCAGAGAGGGGAGGTATTTGTGGGAGCTGAAACCTGCCAGAGCCCCTGCTTCTTGTGTTGTTTTCCTTACCGCGTCTCAATTGAAACATCTTCTCTCTCTCGGCTCAAGCTGTGTCAGTGAGTGCAGGGGCCTTGACATGAATGATGCTGAAATAGCAAAGAAAGCCCCACAGGTGGTCTGTTCACATGATCTCACATCTTTAGGGGCCCTTAATCAAGGCTCTTCTTTTTTTCAAAATTTTTGCTACAAATGTATCTGGTTTGGTCCCAATTAACCCAATGTGCTGGCACGGGATGATACACTGTAACCCCGCAGAGCATTGCCTTTGATTTGCCGCTTGGTGGTCACAGGAGGGTGTTTTTGTAGTTTGGGGCTTCGCTTTGACTCACACGGTAAATTCAACTTCCATTGGGTTCAGCACAGATGTGCATCTGTTTGCAGCATCAATCAGCCGTGTAAACCTTACAGAAAGACATCAGGGAAGAAATACTTCTTCTCTAGCCTCTAGCACAAAAGGTCTAGCAAAAAGAGTTTTGCACAGAAAACAAACAGTTCGGAGAATTTTCTGGATTTATTTAAAATCTAGTGGTTCTGACTCAAGAAATTGGACCCTGTGTTTTGTTTTGGTTTTTCCCCTTTGCCTTTTAACTCCGAGTGTAACAACTCTGGCACAAATGAGTGTCTCCATCTAGTGGTGAAACCAGCACAGCACAGGCTTTTCTCCAGAAGGTCCAATTCCAACTTGTCACTTAACTGAGCTGAACTTTTGCATTAGGAGTTAAAGTGAAGATAATCGAGTTTGCATGATGCTAAGTCATGCAACTGTAAATATCTAATAACAATTTCCTTAAAGTTTCCTAATTAACTTTTTGGAACTCTTGGTTAAAAAAAAGAATAAATAAAAAAAAAATTCAAATATGTCAAAATGGGAAAAAAAAAGAAATAAATTGTTGATAATCTCAAACTGAAAAATCTGGAAAATCCGATCTTTAGTTTGAATAAAGCCAACATTCTCACATAGAAAATAGACCTCTAAAGGTGCACCCGCCAGACTTTAATAACATTTTGATTTCGCCTCAAATGATGTTTTTCTACTTCATTTTGGAAAAATGGGCATAATTATGTTCATGTAACATTTTATTTGAGGTAGAGGTGAGAAACTAAGATGCAAAAACAAATAACGATTCTGATACTGACATCGTTATCGATATTTTTGCCTCAATCCGCTTGGTGGTCCTTGTGACGCTACCACCACCATGTTGTTGTGTTTTGACTTCCTTCAACCCGAGTTCCTTCTTCTCTCTGAGGCTCCATCATTACATAACGCCCTGTTGGGGTAAATAGCAGTAAAATATATTAACATTTATGGTTGTCGTAAGTGGTTTCCGTGGCGTGTTTTTTTATTTTATTTTTGCAGACTTGTGTCAAAATGAGTAAGTGAAAGTGAAATATTCGCTGTACTTTTGAACACGGAACCCATTTCGTTCAGTGTCGGACCTTTTAAACTCTTACTCCATAAATATTATTTCTCCCTTCTTAGCATTAGAGACACCAGATGTTGGTGAATAAAATTGCTATCGTTTTTTTTTTTTTTAAGTTCCTTCAGGACGAAACATTATGGTTCCTGTGTGACATGTCACGTGAGTCATTCGAGTTAATCTGGCAACCGATTCCGATTCAAACAGAACATCCAGAACAAAAAGCACGATGAATCGTGCGTATCGGTCACTGTGTTTTTGTTGCTGTCATTGTTTTTGTTTTGATATTTAAAAAAATGGGATCGTTTTGTGACCCGCTCTCTGAGGGTGAGTCTCACTGCACCCCCCGCCGCCTCGTCCAGCTCGAGGACCCGCTCCTCCACCGCATCCGCCAAAAACCCAGCAGGAGTGGAACACAGTGTCCCTTTAGTTTCCCCTCTGACTGACTGACGCGGACATAAAAGCGGGGCCGGGGGTGGGCTGACTGCTTTCATCCGAAGCGCCGACTGTTTTCCCAGATTCGGCCCGGTCCGGGCGTGCTGAGCGGAACCTCCAACCCCACAAAACTCGCGCGCCGTGATGGATATGATGTCACAGAGACGGTAATGGATGAATATCGGGTAGAACAATCTGGCGTGATGAATGATCAGTGATGTAGTTCTTTTTTTAAAACACTACATTTAAACGTTTTTGTTTCAGTCTTTAGAGCCACAAGACCAGGCTGTTCTCCTCCCAGCCTGTAATAAAAGGACTTTGATGTGTAAAATTGCCTTTAATGTTGCAAATAGTCCTGAAAGTTACATATTAGAGAAGCAGTTTTTTTTTAAATTGCCATTACTATCTAGTTGTGTTTTTTGTTTTTTGTGTGTGAGGTTGTAGAGTAAAGCACTGAGAGGTGGGCGTGGCTAGAAAAGCTCCAGGTGAATTCTGTGCACAATGGATCCCATTTCATAAATATAACATATTTTGGCGCTAAGTGTAAAATTTGAATGCAAAAGATTCAGCAGAAAGCTTTTTGATATTTAGATCTACATTTAGAATCCTAAATATCTTGATATTCAGGATTTAGATTGACATTTTAGATTTAGATTTGAGTATTTAGACAGCAATATGATATCTACCATTAACATTTAGTCATAGCTTTTATAGATTTAGCATTTAGACAGAGATATACATTTAGAGACACACTTAACATGTTTAATGTTTCAAACTGGATGTAGTATTTAGATTTGCTTACATTTTGTTAAACGTAAACATGATGGTATGTGACTGTTTTTATTTAGACATTTCTATTTGAAATGTTATTAAAGTGAGCTAAATTAGAGAAAGAAAACTGAACAAAAAAAATCTGATAACGTTTTTTTGCATTCAAATGTTCCTCTTGGCACTCCATACTAAAAGTGATTTGTTTTTACTAGGTTACATTTGGATGTACTACCAGATCCTGACACACGGGGGAGCCATCAACCTGGTACAGGACATGAATATCCTGTTTATTGCTCTATTCTTAATGATTTGCTTAAATTGTCCCTACTCCAAGCAGTGGTTAAATGTCAACTTTTGTTGAGAGAGCTGAAGAAAGAACAAAAAATATCTTTAACTTGTGGCACTAACTGAAAACAGGCAGAGGGATCAAGATTACATTAAAGAACTCAGAGAACAAGCGTTTCAGGAGAGAAAAGAATACTTTAATGAGAGGATGAATTATGAAACTCTGAAGGAATCCATAAATTGGAAAGAGGCTAAGGTAGAAGATGCTATCGCTGTGGAAGCACCTAAGGCTGAAAGCGAAGTTGAAACACAAACCAACGAAAAACAAAGTCAGTTCATAATCAAAGAACTTTGTTTCTGAGTGAAGGCAAGTTAGAGCCACATTTTATAGTAGACAACCTCACAACACAAGAAAAGTTACAGCAATTTAAGCCAACGGCCACTAGCACAAGGAAGTCTGAAAGGCCACCATTGATACCGACAGGCAGGAGGATTTATCTCAGTGAAACTGAGCAGAGAAAGGATGAGTGGGGAACCTGGCGGGAGTGCCACAGTAGAGGAGAACGGTGAAGTTCCCTCATTAGAGGTTAAAGGCAAAAAAATATGAGGTGCATTTGTGAGTATAACATACAAGAGGCTTATACAGCTGGGGGCTGGGCTTTAACCCCCAGATGGACGGGCCGACCATTAACTCATAAGGTCTGCTTAGACTTTTATTTATTCTTGTAGTTTGGCATAACCACAATTTTCTGTTTTAATCTAATCAATTTTAGAATAACTCAATGATTAATAACTTTAAATAGGACTTTTCTCCGGGTGCTCTGGTTTTCCCTCCCATGTCCTCTTGGTGGCTTCGTCAATACAAACCAAACATAAAACCAAAAAGCAAAACTAAAAACCCCAAAATACAAGCTGAAGTGACTTTACTTCAGCTTTAAAAATGAGGAAACTTTTCATGAAACACAGTAGAACACAACAGAAGATTTTATTGGATAAAAATATTTTTAAAAAATTCCTTTTTAATCATCACTTTTGAAACACAAGCAACATTTTAAGCCCTTTTACTGACTGCTTTAGATCGGCAGATCTTGGAAAATGAAATCACAAGAAGTTGCATTTAAAACTCTTACTAACTGCAGCAGAAAGTTAAAGGAAAGAAAAACATGTCACGTCTTAACGTCGTCATTCTGTGTCACCAGGAGGCAGCAGAATCTCAAAACACACCTGTGTCGGAGAAGCAGCGAATACTAAACTTGATTGAAAACTAACACATAAAAATCGCATCTATCTCGAGTGTTTGTCTGGTTCAGAACCAGACAAACGTGCTTGAGATTGAAGAGATCATTGCAGTCAGTGATAGAGTTCAGCTGAAGCTTAAAGCAGGGTTAGGGCCTAAGTATCTAAAATATTCTAAGGTCTAAGCAATGTTCACAAAAATCTACGTGAAGGGCGTATAAAATCTCAAATGGTTTTAGTTTGTTTTTGTTTTTAGTACAAGAATTTTAGCATGTAAGAATTTCATCAGAGAATTTAATTTAGATTAAATACCAGCCCAGCTGAATTATGGAAGCATATAACAAAGACACTTTGGTGGAATAATAATATTAATAATAATAATAATAAACTGTTCATCATACATGCTTTTGTCTTTGTTTTAAAAAAAGGAAAAGCCATTTCACAGTCAGTCTGCAGCTCTCTTTACAAATCTAAGATATGAGTCGGGAAGCTTTTGTTGTCCTCTTCAAAAACGACCACAAGAAGAAGATCAAGAGCTTTCTCTTTCCACAAAGATAAGCTCCTCAGCTCCACAGCAGCTCAGTCATGTCGATGATTCGTTTCAATCGTTTTGTGTAAATGTTTTAAAGTGGTTTCACTGGCTGTGTAAACACAGCGACACATCATCTGGTCCTTAACGGGCGAGCGTCGCGTTCATTTGGACTTGGATCAAGGTGAAACTGAAGCCACAGCCGAAGCAGAGAGCAGAGATCCTGCGGGGGCAACAGCTAACGCTCCTCTATTTCCAGTGTGGAAGTGTTGCTGATGTTTGTGGTCCTCTTGATCCCTCGGAGGCCCTGAAATAGAGTGACAAGCTGTCGCCGTAAATACTGGGCCCCGATGGGGGAGCGTAATTACTTCGTGATCCTATGTCAGCTTTTAGGAGCCTTCGTAGCGTCCTTCACTTTGCAGGAGGAATCTCTTTCCATCTATGGGCCGGGTGACGGCATTGCCTCTCGTTTTAGTTGAACCGTCTGACCCGGTCCAGTGGACTTTGACCTCACTGATCCATGCTCAAAAGCAGGGCCATCTATGTTAGGAATCATATGAAGGGATTTGAGAGGGGGCAGCGAACAGAGTCCAGGTCAAGACTCGGATTAGTTGCGGACAGTGTTGGGGGCAAAATCCGTATGGAGACAAACAGGTGGGCTGCATTCTTTTAGGTTTTTTTTTATTTTATATTTTAATTACCCCAAAAACAACGTTTGCTAAAAGACGCCTTATTCAAAACGCTTCTGTCATTGCTAACTTTGATTCAGAAGGTAGGAGGATTTTTGTCGTAGCATCACAGAGCAGGGGCCCTAACAGAGAGGGCAAAGCAACAACATGGAATATGATTAGAGCTGCACTAAAAAAAAAAAATGTCCAACTTGATCACCCCTAACCAGTGTCCAGGCAGCTAGAAAAGGAAAAATATATATTTTTCCCAATCAGTAAAGACATCATGCATCACAACTACCAGGTCATACAAGGGCTGACAGAGACTAAAAGCTATTTAGTAATTTTTGGTTCACGACGGCCTGGGAAATTTCTGGAGTGCAGAAAGCAGCAGCCCATTCTGATTGGTGCATCTCTAATTATGATGTGTTGAGTCTGAGGTTTACGTCTCCATTTCAGATTCTCAAACTAAACAGCAGCCTGGGTTTAAAGCAAGAAAAGAGGTGGACGCATTGCTGCAGCACGGGGAACTACAGCAACGTGTGCCTGAAGCTCACACCCACTCTGATCTTTTCTCCTGACCACCTTCACCGCTTTGAGGCTCAATACCGTTTCCAAGTTCAAACAGCGAATACTGACCCACTCTCCTGGTACAGACTGAAGTTGTCATGGAAACATCCTTGACCGGTGCTACCGATTGCCCAGAGGGTTGTTTGAGGTCCAGCCTGGGTGGAGGAGGGGGTTTAGGTCTGTTGCGTTTGTTGACTCTAATGGGTCTTGGCGTCCGTATGGTCTCCTGAGGGCAGAGGGCGACCTCGCTGCCATTCCTCTCCAGAACCTCCTCCTGGGAGACCAAGATGTCATTGTTACCGCTGTTGCAGCACGGAGGCTCTGAAGAGCATGGGTGCGAGCAATGGCCCAGGGTGGACGCCTGCAGACTTGAATGACATTTCCCACCACTCCCGTGCCTCTTCCTGAAACTTTCTATTTTCTCAGACTGGGCCTCTATATCTTGCTGAGTATTGGATGTGCTAGGATCTCTGCAAGTGGAAGCCGTACCAGCAGAGAGGAAGCAACGCTCCTCTTCAAATATTTTCTCAACCATCATCTTCCTCTTGGTGTTGTGCTTCAGCGATCGCTTGACGGCCCAAATGAAATCCAGAACATCGAGGAAAAGGGACAGAGCGGCCACAGCGAGCATGAAGTTGAGCATAACCGTCTTCTCTGTGGGCCTGGAGATGTAGCAGTCCGCCTGGGTGGTGCACGGAGCGTGCTGGCACAGGAATCTCCTGGGGATGTGGAACCCGAACATGTAATAGTGAGCGGCCCCAAAGCCGGCTTCCAACAGCGTCCGGAACAGCAGATGGAGGATGTAGGCCCCCGCGAAGCACCGCAGCCCCCCTCTCTGGTCAACCGCCAGTGGCACCTTGTTCACACACATCTTGTTGAACTGCTCTTTGTGGACCTTGAACAGTTGGAAAGCTTTGGCATGTCCGGTTGAGTTCAGAGCCACAGAGAGAGCGTTGGACACCTTGTGGATGACGTAGATGATGAAGATGATGTAAGGCAGACACAAGGTGACGAGCTGCACCAGCCAGAAACGGAAGAGGGAGACGGGCGAGAAAAGATCATAGCAGATGTTTGCACAACCGGGTTGGATGGTGTTACAGACGAATCTCTCCTGTTCGTCCTGGTACAGAGGGTATCCGGCAAAGATGAGAATCAGGACCCGGAGGAAGATCATTACAATGAGCCACACCTTTCCTGTGAAATAAATAAATCACTAATCTGAGAAAAAACACAAATTTTGAAATTACTTTATTTTAACCTAAAACATCCAGATTGTTTAGGCGATATAAAGACAAGAGGAATCAACTTACCCATCAAAGTGATGCTGTGACTGACAGAAATAAAGAGGACCTCAGAGACACTTGATTCTACCATGGTTACTCGGCCTAATGCTCTAAAAACTCTCAAAATAAAGTTGAAAATGTCCTGCTGGTGACACTTCACTCTACATTTCTCAACTGATCCATCTTCCACCTCTACCACTCCTGCCAAAGGTCAGCTGGAGCGTGCGCTCCGTCCTTAAGGTTGAAATCCTTCCTGACCCGACTCCAACGAACTGACAGTTTGACAGACCAAATGACGCGCTCCGTCTTACTTCTTCATCTGCCCTTTGCAGCCAACCGCCTGTCGCCAGAAAACAGAAGACAGGAGCACGCTCCATTGTCGGTCTATTCTTAACACGTTTCCAGAAGCACGTTGCCGTCCTGGCATCGCAGAGATATTTTTGTGCTGTTGGCTCATTCTTACATCAAGCCTCTTGGCTTACTCGCTCCAAATTGGACTGGTCCTGAGATTTCGCGGACAATGACAAGCACGCTCACATTGACTCCTTCATAATCCTGGAGGAACTTGGTGCAACATAGATCAGTCACGGAGCATACAGGTATGCGGACTGTTTAAATCTCGCTCATGAAATAAAACCAGGTTTTAAATTGTTGTTTCCCTTCAAGTGACGCTGGTCTATGGGGGAAGAAGAATTAAAGCTGCTTCTTGTGGGTTGCACAAGAAACAAAAGTGTAATTAATCATTACTCATATGAGACATGCTTGTTTTAGGACCACTGTTCACTAAAGACAGTCAGAAACAATAGAGGTCTCACAATTTAAAACACACATGTGGGAGAATTTGAGTTTTCCTAAAACTGACAAAATTATGAAAAAAATTATTTTATGAGATACCTTATTGAATAAATATCTAAATGCCAAATCAGACAAACTTCCATTTCTAGAGTCTCTCATAAGGCAGAGTTGTCTCACCAGAAGTTAACTGCACTTTTATTGTGTGTGTATGTTGCTGCAGTTATGAGACACATCTCACAGGCTTTAATTATGAAAGCTCTGTGGATTATTCCACTCGCAGTTGTGAGTCAGGCTCGGCGCAGTTCATTTAAATTCAGTCTGGGACTTTAAAACTACAACTGACGTGAAACAATGTGAGATTAATGTTGTCTTGGTCTGATTTCATCACTTTAATCTAATCTGTTCCTTCAGATCAACGCTCCACTCCAACAGGAGGAAACGGGCAACCCAACTGTACTTGCATGCAGTTGGGTTGCGCACAAAAACGACGTCGATGGTCGGGAGAAAGAAAAAATAATATTCGAGACCTCATTGTGGACACTTGACAAAACGTGATTGTTTTGCAGGTACCCCTTTGTCTTTAGATGATGTTACATCTAAATCAAGCAAAAAAAAAGTACAGATAAAGTCAGACAGGAGGTTCTGCAAGAGTAGATTTGCTTTAATTCTTGCTGCATTTTCTTCCTAAACATTGCTTCAGAGGAGGAATGGAGACACAGAAATCACAGTTGAAAACGCACAGAAAAGAAAAGAAAAAACAATTTGGCAAACTGAGAACAAGAACAAAAGCAATTTAGACTCACTGGGACACACAAAACAAAACTACAGAGTACAATTCACTGAAAATGTCCATTGATGAGAGGGGATAAAAAGAAAAAAGTTCAGATACAGTAGTGGACTGTTAGCGTGGGAATTATGATCGAAAATGAGCATCTCAACACAAAAACATTTGAAACAGAGAGGAATGAAAGTAAAGAAAAAAGGTAACTCTATGCGGAGGTAGAGCTCAGTGCTGTGACACTCGTCTAGCGACCAACCATCGCAGCGCCACAACCCCCCACAACCTTCACCTTGGAACTCAACAAAGCCGGCCACACGGCAACAACGCTCAGTTCTTGGCGTTTAAAACACCGGGGCCTCAACATATGTACACACACATATGAAATAAATACAATATACAATCTTTGAGGACAGTTTGAGCAACTCTAGCAACATCACTTTCCTACAGACACTTATATTTGGAGGTCAATCAAAGCCTCACGCAAACCCTTTCAAAGAGCAGACTCCTCGTTAACTAATGTGCAAGTAGACTGAGAAAGAGCAACACACTGGAAATCATCTTCCTTCATTTCTCCTCGACTTTGGTTCGGTTCTTTCCCTTCTCACTCGTGGAGGTCAGACGTTAATGACTGACTGGTTCCTTAGCGGTTTGACAGACAATGGAAAACGACGCAGTGGAGGCCGTCAATGAAATGCGCATAACGTGGAAAGTACAATACACTAGTTGAAAATGAAACTTCTTCAGACCTTTGTCTCTTAGAAAAAGGCAATAGAAACTGACTGCTTAATATTTAACTTTTTTTTTAAATATTATGTTATTTCATTAGTAATATCACGAAGGAATGTGAGTCCAGTTGATCATAAGGCAAACAAGCACTGGTGTAAAGAAAAGAGAAGAAAGGGTTTCTCCCACAAGTTCACCAATACTGTCGAACGAATAGAAGTATTCAGTCCGTAGCGTCATTTTTTCTTTTTCTCTATTTGTTCTCTACGAGAAGAAGAGAGGTGTGAAAAAATACTGACTCTATCCAGAAAATATAAATACTTTGGAATCCGGAAACTGACAAAAACAAGTCGAAGTTTATTACAAAATGGATTAAAATATTTGGGCCAAAACAAAACTTTCTGTTTCAACATTTCTTAGTTAGTTTGTGACCGAAATGTTTAGATCAGCAACATTGCTTATTTATAGGCTAAGCCAAAGATAGCTACATATGTAGTATCAGCTAACTACATATGTAGCTAGCTGAGAAGGTGATAGCTTCTTAGCTAACGATACCCCGCTACAGAAAAGTCAAATTAAAATGTGAAGTATACACGACGCAAACTATGGTATTAATTAATACAGAAGACAAATAACACTATTTACGTCAATTAACATGATATTAGAACAAGAGCGGGCAAGAATACTGAATGAAAAACAAAGGAAACTACGTAGCTAATGCTAACCATTGCTAGATAAAACTTGTACTGAAGTTAATTACTATATGATGCCATATAATTCAACTTTTTATGTTGTGAGCATCAAGCAACTATTACCGTAAATAACTATTATATTCTACATTAATTAATGTAGAATACAGGAAATAAATTAGCTCGCTAACAACAGAAAATTGAAAGGGCAACTGAAATAAATGGAGAAATACCAACTTTACATTACTCAATATTTGGTAATGTATAGCTTTCACTGTCGTTGACATTTACACTACTACATTTTTTTTTTTTTGACAGTTTCAGGCCTCAGTACAAAATAAATGAAAACCAGTTGCATTTGGCAATGTGGTTCAAGAAGTCTTTTGGAAAATGTGTAAACGTTTGGTGAATATTTAGTGATATCAACATACCATTCACAAAAAGTAACACATTCAAAGGTGACAGATTTTAATTCTGCAAAAGTTAACAAGATAGACAAAAAAAAAATCTTGAGTGGTGTGTCCCATTTTAATTTTAATACTTCACTTTTTTTTTCTTTACTTGATTTGTCACAGGAGCACAAAGTCATACATACAATATTCACTGCCTCCCCCCTCCATAAAAACTGATATAAATATTCTAACATCACTCTGCTGCCTTTTTTTCCTGTTTTTACAACACACTTTTTAGTGAGTCTAAAAGTCTTTCACAATTTCACAATTTATTCACACTGTACAAAGAAAAGTCTGAAAATTTTTATATATATTTTATACAATTTCTCATTTTCTGAGCAGTGTTTTAATCAGCGCTAAATATTTTGCTTTTATTAATTTTGGTCTTCATTAGACCAACAAAACCCCTGAAGAATCATATTTAAGTGGCTTCGAAATGTAAATTCCATATTGTGCCATTTCTTTTTAAGACGGAAGAGCCATACAAAATAGTGAAGCAGAGAAACTGAATTTGTTCTCGTCCTGATAGAGAGAGAGGGGAAGAAGTGTTAATTACAGGCACCACAGGTCAGGACAATGGCAGTGGACACAACATAAACTCTACAGTATGTCTCGCATTCGTCTTCAAGGCAATCTTCTCCAGAGTGCGTATGCTTTTTATCGTGTTCCATCCGAAACGCAGAGATGGACTGGATATTGCTTTATTTGATAGAGCTTGGTGAGTTTCTGCACATGGAGGTTGAATTGGCATTTCCTGATGAGAGATTCTCAAGGTAAAATTTGATCTAAACGGGTGTGTGATGAATTCTCTGGACGAATTTAGCCAAATGACCACAGTTTTAATAAGTACTCAGCGGGTTAGTTTGGTGATATGTAGTCTACTGAAATGCATCACCTCTGCTCTCCACCCAGGCAATGGAATGTACAATCTTTTTCTGAGTGTTTGATGGGAATGCAAAAAATAAGAAATCACAAACATTGTGAGGAAATGTGTCTGTATGAGGCGTAAAATGATGCTCCAGTGAAGGATTTGAATTAAAGAAACGTAATCAGCCTCCATTAATCAGATGTACAAACCAGTTGAGCTTCAAAGAAAACTATTAAAACTCTTCTGCCATTCTTTTTTTCTCCCCCTCTTGTGTCTTGCTATTGAATTGCTTTCCAACTTTCCAGTCTCTCAATTTATCTCCATTAACCTGCTTTTCTCCTGCAACTTACGTCTTCATTCCACATCTTTCAGCTCAGTTTGCTTCAGGCAACCAGTGGGACCTTTTATGTACAACAGTCAGGGAAAAAGGCAATCTCACTTGTCAAAGTGCCAGTCTGAATGGAAGTTTGTGTTGTGTGGGTGTGTATGTTCCAGACAGACCCGCCGGCCTGCAGTCGGCCGACCCGCTCACCTCCCTGCTTTTCAGGCAACATAATGGCAAAGGTCTATTTTCTCCTCTGATCCTCTGAAGGTGGCCAGGTGTTAAGAAATGATAGCCGGACACCACCGCACCACCGTCAGGTTGTCCGCGCTCACCGATCGCTTCTTGGCCAGTTTCCTCACGTCCTTGTACTTATCGCACAACCGTGCGATGGCCTGCGAGACGAAACAATAAACACAGAGAGTACTTGGACTGCTTATCAGAATACTTGCATGTCGAGATCTCTCGAGAAATTGGATGACGATCGGACAATTTTAGGTTTGATCCTCCTACATCTTTTTCCCCTCAAACAGTGAATGAAACCAGAAGTGTACCCGACAACACTCATTGTTGTGATGACCTAAACTCGGCTTTTATTTTGTTTAGTGCAGCAAATTTACTGCATAATCTCCTTTTTAAACTTTACGCCTCCAGTAACGGGACATTTGGGAATGCGTAGAAGCTGAATTTTACAATTACTAATGATAACCTTTGTTATGCAGCTGCTGTTTTGATGTTGCCGGTCACAGAAAATATGTAAGAATTGTAAAATTGCATCTTTATTCTGCTAATAGTTATAGCTAGGCCATAATACTCTGTCACAGGAGTGACTGAAATAAAGCCACTTTTTAAAAACATTTTCTATCATTTTCAACCTTTTTTTGTCTTTCTTTCTTCTTTTTTAGTAAAAAGAGAAAAAAAAGATGAAAGTAGGAATTTATTTTGTTTTTAAGTGATATTGCCCTGCCTTAAACATAACCAACAAAAATGTCTTTTAATACATTTATAAAAGAAGAATATCATTATTAGTTACTTAGGGGGAAATTGAAATATCAGTGCAACAAAAGAACAAAAACCAGAAAAACATAAGACCTGTGTAGACAGGTGGTCCTCACCTCTAGTTTCTGGGCTTTGTCCCTGCTGAGCGGCTCCAAGGGAAAGCTGAGGTTGTTGGCCTCAGCCAGGGAGCGCAGGTCGAAGTAATACTTGGCGTAAACGCTGGACGGTACGTTGATGTTAAACTGCAGCAGCTCCAGGAACTGACGCTCCAGCTCGTTCCTTTAGAAGACAAAGGAAACAAAAAATGTCTTGTTAGGAACGCCTTCTTGTTCAAGCAAATTAAAATAATCATTATGTTGACTTCTGTCCACAAAGAACCCCAAAGACGGCAGAAGTCCGACTGAAGTTGAAACTGATAACTTTGATAACAGGCAAAACAAGCTTTGTCAAATATCGAACAGAATGCTTTATAAGTAAACGCTCTGAGTGTTGTGTATGAGGAGAATTAATCCCAACTCCAGATTATGTTTTTGTCATGCACACTCGCTCCTCGGCAGCTTTGCGATCCCTTCTGCGCTGCGATGACAGCAGCTTTCATCTGTTTCTCCTCGGTCGTGACCGACTCTTTTCTGCTCTGTGGCTTCCATCCACCTCGCCTTCTTTGTTCCTCGCCCACACACATTTCAATGCTCACAGCTAAAATTAGACTCCATTGTTGCCAAACTCTGCCTAATAACGCTGCTTTGGTTTTCTTCTCTTTTGTTTATTTTTGGATTGCCCTGCTCAACGTTCTCCATAATTTCCCAGCAGCAAGCAGGTGGAAAGGGAGATTCAGAGGTCACATAGGAGGAATTTTGCAGCATAGAACTGGTCTGATTCTGAGTCACTGTCTGGTAAACGCTCAGCTGTATTGTCCGGAGTCAACTCCAGACAGGTGGATTGTGGTCACTTCAGCCCGAAGACGAGAATAGACCTCCACCGGCTCAGCAGAATGTGCAGAGGTCAGAGGTTAATGGGGGGGTAGAATGTCCATATAGCATCATTTGCACCATCAGGATAATCCTGCCAAGATTCCATAGGGTTAAAAAGCCATGTAGGATGTAAAGGATATGAGGTTTCATGGCTGATTTGAACTTAAGTAAAGTCTTTTTTTTTTTAAATGTTACATTTAATTTCTCCACAGAGCTCTTTATTTCAATGAGTACACAGTTTTTATCCTTGCATCAAATTTTAACCAAAGAAGAAGGAAAGCAATTCATTGTTTTTCAATTTTTTTTAAACCAAATTATGAACAAATCATGGAGCAATGTTGCAATTACCATCTGAAAGTGTGGAGGTTGATATCAACCTCCACACTGACGTAGCCAACCAGATGTTTATTTGCCAAAAATTGGAAAAAAGAGTGTTTAAATGTAAAAAACTGTCCTTAACATAAATTATAAGGAATACTAGAGAAAAAAAAAACATGGTTTGGACAATTATTTTACTTTTAATCAACAGTGTACCTACGGTTTGATCTCTGCTTTCATCGCCTATTCTATTATGCTGTTCAAAAGGTGACCCGCGGCTGAGATTAGACAGAAACAAAGGGAAATCTGATGGTTTTCTATGTCTTTTCAAAGACTTACATGTCCTCTACTGTGATATCCTTGAGAATTTGGCAGTAGTCAACATTCCACACCGCCTGGTCGTCCCAAACTTTGGAGGCTAAGAGGATCGCTCCCAGCACGATGCGCTTCCAATTGGCAGGGCAGATGTCAATCTCAGCATAGGTTAAGAGCCTTTCCAAATAAACCTGAAACAGAGAAGGTTTTCTGTTTTTAAGATCAGACAAGTTAAGACTCATCTTCCCTCATAAAATTACTTCATTTTAACAGCTTCTATGCTGCTTTAGAGTTTTTCAGGCCCCTAGTAACTCTTCTTCCTCAAAGATCCAGCCTGGAGCTTCCTCATAAAATATCCATGCCAATCAAAGCACCGCATGTCTGTGTTCCTTTCCAACTTCAGTAGGTTCACACACTTCCCACAGGCTACACCGCTCCTATAGGGCCCCAGGATAAAGCAGCGCTGATTCACTGGATCACCTGATCATTTTGTTAGAACCAAAGACATTGGTGAGTTGAAATTTAAACACAGACACAGATCAAAGCTGGATTCCTTTCCTAAAGGAGAAATAACGTGTTTTTTAAGCGGAGCAGACTGATACAATCTGAATTATTCATATCAGTCTGTTTTCACATTAATAATTTGCAATTTTAAGATATAATTTGGAATATTCCAATCTTTCTTAATACTGTTAATGCAGACTCAGACTGAAATACAAAATGGTCCTTCAAAGGGGCAGTATCATGTATTTTCCAGGCATTTAATGACATTTTTGCAACGATGTTGTCTTTAGTTGTTATAAAAATGCTACATCTATCAAACATGACTTAAAATAAATATGACTTCATAATTTAAAGTCTTGAAATTGGGCCTCTGCTTCTTTAAGAAACTCCTTCTCTTTACAAAAAAAATTGCCTTCAAAAAGTCATCACAAGAGCACTCCCCTATTGATTCTTTTATAAGGCTTTTACCAGGCTGATAACTAGTTCATTTAATGAGATCAACAGATGTAAAATTCTAACAGGTGTTTGCTAATTGCTGCTGGCTAGTCTGAAGGAGCTGAGTGGGGGAGTTGCGAGCAGGGTTGCTCTGTGAGGCAGAAGGTTGGGAGATCGGAAGCTGCCGCTCCGAGGAGGAGCTATGTCTTGAAGGCGGAGCTAGGTCCAACCAGGCATTTTGCACAGCTGAATGGTTGCCACGGGAGATGAAAGGATTCTTCAAACATGCATGACAGAATCAAAGCAACACTCCAGCTATTTCTTTGATGAGGTAAAAACATTAGAATTTGATGCAAAAGAAAATAAAGAAGTTGACTTTATATAATACTGTCACTTTAAGGAGTCAGGTACAAACCTGAACTTTGTATTTTTAATATTATTATTATTATTATGGTTACACATATGTACCTCCAAAACAATGATACCGCATGGTTAGGAAAACAAGAACTGTGATAAGGAATAGTATAATTTTGCAGTGATGTTTGAACAGCTCAGGTGGCTAATTAAAGGAATCCTGCCAGAGGGGGGTTTGTGCCTGCAGGGGGTGTCAGTCTGGCCTGCTGTAGGTCAGACACCAGCAGCAGGCAGGAAGCCCACTGAAGGAAGCCCCCACCCACCAGTGAAATGAAAGCCAGACCCCATGCTGGCTCACTCGCAATACAAACAAACACATGAATGAGCACAAATGGTTTATGATGCTACGTGATCATAAAATCTCATGTTTTATGCAGATATTTCATCCTAACATCTGCTGGAATCGAGTGTGAATTGGTCTCAGTATCACTCGAATAAATAAAGTAGTTTTTTTTCTCTGCTTCAGAAAACCCAACAATAGACATAATCTCGTTGAATGCATCAGCTATAAAACAGAATTTGCAGAAAACATAGTGATATAAACACTTGAACTTTGTCACTCTTTTGTTGTACTTTTGGAAGACACTGCAGGGGAATATTATCTGTACATGATCCATTTCTGCTTAGCACAGGCCTGCTGGTTGCTCTTGTCTTCTGCTTTTCCCATCTTTTAATGAAGCCACTAATCTCTTTCCCAGTGGAGCAACAACTACAAAGCAAAGAGAATCCACGGCTTCCATCTGTATTTTTCTCATGTTTAAGTCAGCTGAACTAACTTTATTACCACCAGCCAACTACTCTGTCAGTAACTGGTAGTCTTTCAGATTTTATATGGAGAAAGCAGAGCGTATGTATTTTTAAGCTATGTGTCGGCATTAGACACTTTTTTATAAATAGCCATGCAGAATAAAGCATGTAGATAGTAATAAGGCTTCCTAAAGTCCAGTCTAGAAATTAAATATTGTTACCACTCATTACATCAAGTAGCAAAACTAAACTCTTTACTTGATTTTAAGCTTCACAGATATAGAAGTGGACGGCTTATTTTTGGAGAAGTCAAAATAACAGAGAATCAGAAAGCAGCCACGACCCCTCCTAGTGTCAGTGCACATTTTGGCACCCTCAAGTATTTTGGCACCTACCAAAGTGACAATAGCACACTCGGCAGTGAGCTGCGCGGCGCTGAACAGCGTCCGGACAAAGCGATAGATCTGCTTCTGCTCAGGGTCGTATTTGTCATAATCAGCAGGAACCTCAGACTTCTGGAAACGGAGGAAGAAGAAGGAAAAAAAATCAGACAAGTAATATAAAAAAATAACCTATTTCTACCTCATCAGGTTTTTTCCAGTAGAAAATAAAATAAAGAATGCATTTGGCAAAGTGTCAGAGTACATTTTGAGAGTAAATCATTGCAAATGCTCTCAGATGGGAACAGATGAGAATGATCAAGCTGGATTCCTCAGATTTCCCCCCGTATTGTACTCATTGGTATTCATTTGCTGTTTGTTCTGCTGATGAATGCTGACATCGCTACGGTTTGTTCCTAATGGGGGTTTTGTCTGCAGCTGAGGCCGTACCGAGAGAGGATGCAGCTTCTCATCAAAAATGTCTAACAACATTCGTCCGTCGACGTCTCTGGAGAGAGAAAGAGAAGGAAAAACATCAAAAAAAAGAATGTAAAATCTGAGTTGAATAGCTATCTGCCTGTTCAATAAACCCCTTTATTAGCATTTATATGTTTTTCATTCCCACCAAAATATGATGAACTGAAACACCGGACTGAATCCAGAGAGATTTGTTTTTTCTGTGAGATTTGCATTTATAAATGCCTCAAGCAGGATTGACAAAGTTGGATAAATTGTAAAAAAAAATTATAAAATTCTGAATCACTCTGAATTGTGTTAGTGCTTCTAATTAGTAAAAGAACACCGGTCTGTCAAAGAAACATTTTGACAAAATTATTAAATGTAGAAATTTCAAACTTTCAGCTGCTTCCATTTACTACCGTTAATTTTTCCCCCCCACATTTTCCAAGAAGGAATGATGACATGCATCCTTTAATATGTGTTTTTAATGTTGGCTTTTTTTTTTTACAGGATTGCAACATGCATTGGAGAATTTAAAAAGGTAGAATATTTTCCAGACCTGTTTTTTATGTGGTAGTAGATCGCCAGGGCTACACTGCAAAAAACAAACAAACAAACCAACCAAAAAAAGGCAGATTAAAAATTATCTTTGCTATAAAGAAGCAGGAAAGGATAAAATTCTGAATATTTCTGTAACAGTGAGGCGAGTTACCATTTGATGGTGTATTTGAGGTTGGGCTGACTGACTGTGCTGTCGTCCAGAAATATGGTGGAACAGGAGCTGTACTTTCGTCTCAGAGGACCTGGATAATGCTGGAGCACATTTGCACACGGTCATACAAAATACGCAAACACATATATGTGGATTGATCAATATCTTTAAAACTATTCTGGGGAACATTTAATGGCTTTATAACAGAGATGGAAAGAAGTGCAGCTTGAGTGCTTTACATGGCTGCATGCATGATTTAGATTTATGATGTAGTCTCTCTTTAAAGAAGAATAACAGTTTAATTTCAAGTTGTTCAAATATGTTTTTGTTTATATATTTACAATATTACATTCCAGATTTACCTACTTGGATTTCTCAGTAATTGTGCACACATATCAAAAATATTAAATATGTACAACAAGGTAGAGAGGAACACACAAAATAACCTTAGTCACTTTTTCTTTTTTCTTTTTCACATTCAAACTACATAAAAAACATACACAAAAAAAACAATAACAAGGGATTTCAAACTGCAATTACAAGCATGTAGGATCTGTGAAATTCACAAATAGAAGATATCAGGACGACTGAATGGTTATTACTTTACCTTGTTTTCCAAAATGTGTGTGAACTTGCAAAGCATACAAGACATTTGAATTACAAAACGGGTCTTTTCTTTAGTTAAACAGTAAAACAAATGTGTGTTATTTCACTTACGTGGTTGATGTAAAGGCTCTTCCGCTTTTCTCGAACTGGAAGGAAAGATGAGAGACCAGCGTAAGCGCAATACCTCACCCCAACAACAGGGAGCAGCATCTCTCTAAAGTTCTCTTGTACAGATTTTTACCACAACATTTGAAGAACGGCTTGTTATTTTGTTGAATATTTTAAAAAGTAATTGTAAATTGCATTTTAATAAAACAACATAACAAAGCCTGTGCATGGTTTTTATTATGGAATTGAAATCCAAATCAGGTTTGATTTGATTTGGATTAGAAATAACCAAATCTGGTTACTTGTGTTGCCAATTTATTTCAATGGATATGTCTATTTGTTAGTTTTATAGATGCCCGTTTTGTTTTAGTTTTTTTATACATGATGGTGTGTAGCATGTTCTACAAGCGGCTAACACCAGTGTCTCACTTTCTGTATGTTTATCTACACTGTTTGACTGGAGGTGGAAGTGTTTCATGGCAACATTAGGCTTTCTGTAATATTAATCTGATACGACTACACCAATGTATCATAATATGTCAAACAGGAAACTGTTGAAAACGGCAATATTTAATTGAGAAAAACTGGAAACTGTGGCAAATCTTGTCATGACCAGCATGTTAGCAGGATAGTGAAAAAAATAAAAAAAAATTGGATCAGACAGTGACTCATTTTTTGTTTGTTTTAATTTTATTATTTGAGTTACTTGTTCTCCTGTTCTGAGGAGGGGCACTAACTGAATTGAAATCCGAAAGTGAACAAAAGATTTATACTAAGTTGCAACTTTAGTTTCCACGTTTTGAGCAATGAACCAACACTTAATTGGCTGAGAAAGACTGAGAAACAACCTGATTTAGAGCAACCCCTGGCACATATCGGCACAGGTCTGTTATGTGCCGATAATTATATAATGTAATTATACAATTGTGCTTGTAATTTGAGATTACAAGAATAAGTTTTACATCCCTGGCACTTTAAAGGTTGTGGTGGGAAAAACAAGAAAGATTAGAATTACCACTACACATTTACAGAGAGATGACCAAGTCAGAATTAATCTGCATAAGAGTAAATGATCTACTGTATTTTAACCTATTAACCTATTCCACAATGCTGAAACATCAAAGCTGAACACCAATCTGGAACATTGATCAACATATTTGGTGTAAATATGCTTGATGATTTTGATGACATTTAACAACATGCAATGTTTATTGCTTATTCATCATTGTTTATTGTATGGTGTGACGTAAAGCACTTTGAATTGCTTTGTTGGTGGAATGTGCTACACAAACTTGAATTGGCAATTATTTTCTTCTTCTGGTTAAACCAACAGATTAAACAATCATTTGAGAACCTATTGTTGCCATGATGTTGAGTGAAGAAGTGTAAGCTTGTAGACAGAAACATACTCTAAATATATAGAAGGAGGAAAATGACTGCTAGCAAAAGCAAACAGGAGCAGTTGGGAGGGAAAGTAGCAGAATTAGACACATGCGACAAAGTACTGAGGTACCTCACATTTCTTATCCCAGTTTTCTTCTGTATCTTACCTCTAATACAGTGGTGCTCTTATAGCAATGCACATTTTACACTGACAAGTCTGGAGTACAACTGGTTTAAGCAACAAGCAACAATTTTATTTTTATGAAAGAAAATTAAAACATGCATAACACATTACATTACATTACGGGGATTTTGGAAGTTTTGATCGGTCTAACTACAGTTGTACTCATGGACTGACATGTGCAGTGGAAGAAATGTACACACAAAATGACTGAAGTAGCTCTGCTCGAAACACAAACAACTACCTTCACATTCACGGCATGATGACGCATAACGTAGACAACATTGGCCAAAGAAAAATACAACATGAAGGCGGTACAGCTTTAGATACCAGGAAGGAGCTGTTCTCTTCAGAGTTAAGCCCGAACAGACAGTAAAGCAGGGCGGTGTTTGCCAGCCCTGTTGGGGCCGGACACACAGACGTGCTTACCTCGCTTGTTGGGCAGCAAAACTGAAAAACAAAAGTCCAAGTTGGCTTCATGCTTTTCGTCATGACAGATGTTCAAAAGAATATACACAATGAAGTCACAAATGGTGAGTCTGCAAACATCAAGGATGCGGTTTTGGTGAGGTTTTAGAAAAAGTTTTATTTAATTATTCAATATGTCTCAATCGGTTGATCCTTTCATTCTACAGAAATTATCAAGTGCTGAGAACAATGGCCTGCAGATCTTCCCACAAGAGCGTAATCATGGCCAACAGAGGAGTGAGGAGTTCCAGCACATAATCCCTGATCAATACACCATGCTCCAGGCAACAGGCTGCAAAGTTCAACTGGCGTTTCTCCAGGATTAAAGATATTAAACAGCATTAGAATACTTTTCACCAAAGTAAAGAGGCTGTGTTCGAATCGGAAGAAAATCTGAAAATAGCTACACAGAATGAGACAACAACAGTGTCTTTTGACAGTAAGGGTCCTTAACTATAGTTCTCGTCAGTCATTATTTGGTTGTGCTAAAATGCTTGGACACATTCTTGCTCCAACCCACCTGAGTTAAATAGATCAGTTACCTCTATAGCATGTCATCAAGTTGTGTGCAGCCCCCTTAGTGACTTGTCCTTTTGATTCAGGTGTGTTGGAACAGGAATGCCTCTACAGCATCTAGAGCTTGTTACACTTTTAGCAACCATTGTCAAGTCTCCCCAGATTGAGACATGACAATGGTTCTAGCCGAGTTGTGTGCGTCTCTCTGGGCAGTGTGACCCTCACTATGGGGGTGGATCATCAGTGTGTGGGACTTGTGGTCGACGCTCCAATGACGTCATTTTGATTGTGAAAAACTGGCCCTGGTTGGCCATTTTTCCTGAAATCTCTCTGTATATTTGTTCGTTGAGGTTTGCCTTGACAAATCGACACTGTATGTCGATTTGTCTTATGTTAGGGGAAAAACACAATCATGAGCATAAGTTTGCCATAATCCTGAACCATATAAATTGCTACAATTTTGTCGTAGATTGAAAATGGTGTTTGATTATTTTTGTAGACGTAAATCCACTGACAATCAATGAACACATTCTGCTGGCAATCAAATCGCTTGGCCGCAATATCCAACAAGGTCCGAATTGTACAGGATCCTGTACAGTACTGTACAGGATCAGTACAACACTGTACTGGTACCAAAAACCTGGTGATACCAAAGAACCAAAGTATTTCCAAAAACCTAACTAACCTGGTAAAGGTTCACTGGTGAAGAACCGGTTAAAGGCTGAAACTCATGCAAAACCATCACAGATGGTAAAATATGTTAACATGGCTAACTTGATAGCATATTGGCTTTCCACTAAAACCATAATCTCTGGATGCATTCCCTTAAAACCTCCCCTTCAGTTCTGAGTTTTCCTAAAAAAAAAAAGAAAGCCCAAAAGAATGACCAGAACAAACTTTCATCTTCTCTTTGTAAACTGATGAAATAAACTTCAAAAATGCATGAAAGTGGAATGTTCAAAATTATTAAATTTAATGAACAGCTTAGGAAATTTACTTCGAGGCAAATATGCTTTCACAATGGTTCACATTTGAAAATATTTTCTCCTTTTGTGATTTATGTGTGCTTAAAGATGGATGTGTATAAAATTTTACAGCAAAAGTCAGTTAACTTCCTTACATCATGCTATGCTAACCCAGTCCAAACAGATTGCTCTATGTATCCCAAACACGAATGCTTATTTGTAGATGAAAAATGTATGCAATTCATAGTCAGCTCAAAAAGTAGAGATATTTTAGATGCACCATTCAAAGAAATGAGAAGTCCCAGTATGGGTCACAACTTACCATCTGTTTGTGACTTGCTTAGAAAGATGGTGCTGGCTCGAGGATGATCTGAAGGGTTATATTCCATGGGCAGATCTGGAATTACAAAAAAAGAACATTTAAGTTCAAAAATCCCAATCCCACTTGGAATGTGATGGACAAACACAGTGAAACACAAAAAAAACAACACTAACATATTTTTACGTTGATTGTAAGAAGATTATATTTTTATTAATTTATTTGAAGACAAACGTATTTAACTTGGACAAACAAAACATGCTGCGTTCAAGTTCAAATATGAAATGAGCTCTCGGGATGAAGTGTCTACCTTGTAATGAAGTGAGCTAAATGAAAAGGTAATCTGTTAGCTGACAGTGTGCTGCATCAGTGCTGTGCTGTGAAAACGGCGGTTTGGAAATCGATAAACTCAGCAAACACAGCAGAGTATTATAGATCTGGGTTAGATCAACGTCTGCTGATCACACAGGAGCCGGCAGAGTAAAAGCAAAGCCTTCAGCAGGGAGATTTTATGAACTACAGGACTGGTGTGTTGAGATATACAGTAAAATGTCTGCGCAGGTAACTGCTCAACCTTATAGCTCTACTTTTCATAACAGTCAGCCAGGTACAGTCATTTTGCGATGCAAGACGGTCATAGCAACATTGTCGAGACAACCACCAGGGCACAGTGTTTTAGTTTATCAGGTGCTCTCTCCCAAGAAAAAGTATTCATGACATTTTTTACAACCTTTCATCAATTTCACTAGAATTCTAAACACGTGACCACAAGGCAGAACCTAATTGGCTGAATCTAATTAATGAATGTAAATATAGTGCAATTTGGAAACTGCAGAAGACGTAAGAGGAAAGGGGTCTCTTCATCCAGAAGGATGACATCCCCAAATATACAATAAATAAGTAACAATAAATAGGCTTAGATTGCTGCTGCGTCAAATACTTTGAGATTCACTTCAGTGTGCTTGTCAGTGAAACAGATAAAAATACAGACAGCATCAATAATGTTTTTTTAATACTTCTCATACTGTTTTCTATCTCTTCTTAGCTACACTGGTCTATTTCTTCTTTTTTTATTTAAATGTTGTAAATTCGTGCTTCAAATTCTGCTTTTAACTGTTGCAAGCACTTTATTTTTGTGCGACAGTACATGGACTGGATGGCTGTACGTAAGATGTTATTTATGAGATTAATAAATGTTCTCCTGAGCAGAACTGGAACCACTGGTTTAGATTTTTGTAAAAAGCTACAGACCCTGATGTTCAACGGTCAGTTTCTGTTTCCGTCACTGAATGTAACAGTACCCAGTTTTGTGTCCTACATTTCACCCTGATTAAAACCCACAAGGATAAGCATGGCGGAAAGGGTCATTTTATTTAGAAAATACAGGCAAAGTTGGTTAGTGAAACTCTACACTGCAATTGAAAAATCCATCTGGGTGTGGTGAGTTAATGTCCCTAATAGCACAACATTTGTTCAGATTCTCTAAAGATCCTTAGAAAATGTAACATGACCTACTTACTTCCAAGTCGTAGAACACCAATAGCGTCAATCACTACATTCTGCCCCTAGACGGTTTTACAGCTAAATTGAAAGCTAAATAGAAAGATGTCAGTGAGACAGGAAGGGTAAGACAGGGCTAATGCCTCAACGCATCATAGAGAAAGAGAATATGAGACAGATAACTAAGAAAGGCTCACAACTGGAGAGAGCAGAAAAGTAGGAAATGGAAATACCAGAATGACATGATTGAAAGGAAGCAGAGGATAAAATAAAAAAAAAACAATGTAAAAAGGATATCTACAGGTTTTAGCAATTCCAATATAAGACTTTTTAAGACCTTTTTAATGCCATCTTGAATGAAATTTAAGATTGTGCTTTTCACTCTCACAAAGGCTCTTTGTACTCTTAACCCTGTAGTACCAAACTTAAACACTGTTTCACACTTAGCTTCATATGGGTATGGCACTGCAGGTAACACACAAGCCATTGCCATTGTCTCCTTACTCTTTTGAACTTCAGTGTTTTTGAGCTGAAGAGCCACTTAAAGAGCCTCAAAGGGGCACTGATACATGCACAGGGATACACGCTGCTGTGATGTTGGCGGAATAAAGATGGGTGTGTAGGAAGGCATTAAGAGGGCTGAAAATGGGTTATGGATGCTGCTTTCAGAGTTAGTGACCTCGATAGTGTTGATGAGAGCATCCTTTCCTTCTCTGCAGCCAGGGTTTATAAAGTTTCCTCCGATTTCCAGATAGCATAGAATACATGCAGGAAGAAGACAACATCCACAGACAGGTGTGTCCCTGTCTGTAGCTGCTACTGGCAATCCCCCTTTATTTATTTCCAGCCTCTCCAAAAACTCCAACCCATTTTCTCCAACCTGGGGAGAAGAAAGCCCCCATCAACATCTGTTTCAGGAAGTAACAAGGAAATAGAACAAGGGGTGGTGATTGCATAGTGTGAGGGAAGCAAACTGAACAAAGAGCGGAGGGAACAGGTCGGTGTGGGGAGGAACTTCTACATTTAACAATTTTCACAGTTACAAAATCCTGTCAGGGTGAACAGCCATCACTCTTTGTGAACTTTAGTATCTCAACCACTGAAAAAATGCACAAGTGTAGATATCATATCCTGAGGAAGTCTATTCAACAGGCAAGAAAAGGTCCAGTCCCACACAATTTATATGAATAACAGAATTATAATCAAATACGGCTTCCAAGGACTTATTTGTGATGACTACATTACTCACACTGATAATGCGATTTCGATTGTGATTTTATGTTATGCAGCTCTAATTTGGACTTAGCATCTCAGATAAGCAATTAGCAAGGTTAGCAAGAGCAGCTGTGTTTCTATTACAGATGTACGCAAAGTGCCGATAGATTCAAAACTTTCGAATGACAAACTAAACTCAAATTTTGTATTCCTGAACAACTGTGATAGCGCCATAGTAGTGTGGCGCTATCACAGTATTATCACAAACCTCAGTTCTTCCCACAATGTTTTTGTTTGTTGTTTATATTTGTACCTGCCTTACTGATGAATAACAGATCAGTTCGAGACTTCTGAACAGTACTTTTATAGCATTTACACCAGATGTGCTGTGTTGTTCCCGGCACCATGCCAGCAGAGATCCTTCTGAAGACTTCAGTTTCCAACATCATCCTGGAAAGGACACCTACTGATGGTTTCTGGGTGACCTGTATGAGTGCCTGTGTCGGAGGATCCAAATGGTGCAGAGTGGCACTGTGCAGCTGTCAGCAACAGGCTTTCAAGCCAGGAAACCCACTAATAAAATACTTTGGGAATTGCTACGATTAATGCACCCAGGGCTGAATGGCTGAATTGTGAGTCTGGATGCTATCGTATTCGCTCCAGGCTCTTTCAGGTTTGTGCGATTGCTTTCAGTTTCTGAGCACATTTGTCATGGAATTAACTGATTAATTAAGTGGCTTAAGACAGAGCTTCACAAAGAACTAATTATGAATCTAGTTCAGAATTTCAAAAAAGCCTGGAAGCTGAAACCTAGTAAGATGAGAAACACAACAAATGTTCAAAAGTGATGAGAAGATGGGGAGGAAAAGATTCACTTATTCTACACCAGGGGTGCCCAAAACGTCGATCGCGGGGAGGTTTTGAATCGATCTCTGCAGCAGGTGACAAACTGAAGACCTCCAGGACGCGGAGAGCAGCACTTCCTCCTCTGACAGACTTATCAAAAATAGTCACTAAGATCCAAAACGTTTGTAGCTTCATTAAAAAATAATAAAGCCTGAAACCTGATATCGTAACGGACTGAACGTTTTTAACGTAATCTTTGCTCGGCTTGCGGGGCACAGGCGGTTGCCACGGCAACGGGTGTGCTTAATGATAAAGAGAGAGAGAGAGTGAAACGGTGCGAGTGGTTCTGAGTTGATCACCTGTTCGGGTTATTTTACCTTTGTTTTCCTTCGCTGTGGTTCATCACAGCCACTGGAGTTTCTGAACGTTCAATAAACGACAAACTTGGACTAATGACCTCGTTCGTTTGCAGTAAACGTCACAACCAACATCAAATAGGACACATATATTTGATTACATTTTAACAAACAAATGGCTTCTACCACAATAATTGTGTCAAATTACATTAATTATATCCCAAATTCAGAAGATTTGCCTTTACCTCTGCAGAGCTCTTTGGTTCCTCCTATCAGTCTGCAGTTTCGCATAGTGACGTCATCAAACCAAATTTCGGATCTACCATAACTGACTGACACCTGTTGGCCTGCAACCAGCTGCTGACTGAGAAACCAGTAACCTGCTCCCAGTGTCAGAATCTCACTGAGGAAGAAACTGCATTAGGTTTTCTATCACACTTTATGTTTCTGACCAACTGATGTATATTTGCATAGAAAATTAGTCAATAGGGTTTCATTTATAATTTGTGAGGTAGATCTCAGCCGGCTGGTGAGAGAAAAAGTAGATCTTGGTCTCAAAAAGTTTGAGCACCCCTGCATTTGATTATTTTAGTTCATTTTTATCTCCAAACAGTGTGCTGCAAAAGTTTGAACAATCGCAAACGGACTGATTAGTGTGAAAAGATGTTCAATATTATTTTATTTTAAACACTTATTGAATGCTGAAACACCTATTCATTGATATTTTAACAATTGAATTGGTTTTTATCAATGCAACCTGGCACAACATTCAGATTTTTGATCTGGGCCCAAATGGAAATGAGTTGATGTCCCTGACATAAGACAAGAGAATCATGGACTATTTTGACTGAAACAAGATCTTTGGAGGTGGAATGATGTCACACCGCCAGCAAAGGGATTCTGTGATGTCACTGGCGATGCCGCCTGTGATGTCATCAACAGCAGAATTCTATGTAACACAATTCTGCATATTTGTCATTGCTCGCAATACTACTGACCAGTTCAGACGCTCGCAAACTCCTTAAGATATTTTATCGACGATTTCATTGATAGTGTTTGAGAAAATGTCTCAAAGTGCAAGATCAACCATGATGGGATTTAATCCAAGGAGGGGAAACCACCAACACCCCCAAGGCAGCTGCTCTACTGCCAACCCTGATG